GGGTGGGCGTGTGGGTAGAAGCACGCTTTTTGTTGCTTATTTCCATGGAAACAACAAACAACACTTGGGCGGTACTTATTCTTTTCCCCCCCCCCCCCCCCCCTCCCACCCCCTGCCGGAAGAAACCTGATTGTACAGCAAATAGACTATATGCAGTCATAACACCATCGTTGGTTATTGGCCAGGATTTGCTGAGGGAAGGAAAAGCAATGAGGTCGTGAAGAGAAGTTTGTGTAGTTTTTAAAATTTGCAAAGTGTTGGATCGCAAAACATTTTTTTAATTGTACTTTTGTTGCCAACTTTTCCTGCCATTTTTTTCTCCTGTCCCTTTTTGTAACTGTTCAGTGCGGTTCCAAGAAAGTAGCGATTTTCCATCTTGCCAGTCTGTCCAATCTAATTGTGTGAAATCCTTTGCTCACCTGACCATTCATATATTGTAAGTGTAATCTTGGATTAATTCTCCCTATAAGTCAAGGAATCTGCTGCTTGGCTGAGAAAAAACAATTCAAACCAGTCCAGAAATGTAACTTTATTTTAGTTTCAATTTTATGTCATTGTTACAAAATAGGGAATGGTGATTGTAGTGTGGATGTCAATGGAATAGTAAGGAAGACATCCAAGGGAATGCACTGGGGAAGCAAGTTCAAATCTTACCATGACAGCTGGTGGAATTTAAATTCAAATTTTCAAAAAAAAAAAAAATCTGTAGTTGTAAGTTCCTCTCCACAAAGATGGTCGGGAAACTATCACTGATTGTTGTTTAAAAACCTATTGGTTCACTAGTGTCCTTCACGGAAGGAAATCTGTTGTCTTTACTCAGTCTGGCCTGAACAAGACTCCAACACTGATTGTTAACAACTCTTTGAAATGGCCAAGCCAGCCATTTTATTCAAGGGCAATTATTCATGGGGCACACATACTGCTTTTGCTAGGAATGTCACATCCCATGAAGGAATAAGTCGAAGAATAAGGGTAAGCCATTCAGGACTGGGATGAAGAATTTTTTGACTGAGTTGTGAACCTGTGGAATTCTCTCACAGGAAGCTGTTGGGGTCAGTTCATTAGATATATTCAAGAGGGAGCTGGATGTGGCCCTTGCGGCTAAAGGGATCAAGGGGTATGGAGAGAAAGCAGGAGTGGGATACTGAAATTGCATGATCAGCCATGATCATATTGAATGGTGGTGCAGACTTGAAGGGCCAAATAGCCTACTCCTGTTCATATTTTCTACATTTCTATGTTTACAATAACAAAAAGGTTCCATCTGATAATCTACTGACTAGGAAGAGCAAGGATGTACAAAAAGCTTTCTTAAAGTGAAACTAGGTCCCAGTTAAGTTCAAAAGGTATTGTTATGGTTTTATATTGCATACTTTGAAAAGATTTTTAAAACATCAAGCATCAAAGTAGTAACCATTGATTTTATAGTAATACATTTATTATAATGTGCTTTTCAGGTTAGCAGATGGCAGATTGTGTGAGTAAGGTGGAATTAAGCATTTCATGTGAAAATCTACTGGATAAAGATGTTTTCTCTAAATCTGATCCACTGTGTGCACTTCTGCTAAATACTGGTGGAAACCAATGGGTTGAGGTAAGAAATATTTTTAAATGTCTTACATATTATATATTCCCATGAAAGGCATAATATGTTATAATTACACTAATTTCCAGACATGGAGGTGGACTACTAAATGGGCAGAAATGATACTACTGTTGTTTTTCTGCCCTATAGTTAATTCAGTAACCAATACTATAGAACATATTGAAAAATATCATTATTACTTGCTTGTTTCTTCAATTTTAAATTGTTCTTATTTTACTTCATTTTCATTCATAATTATTTTGCACCCACTCAACGGAGTGAATACTGAGATAGTAGGAACTGCAGATGCTGGAGAATCCGAGACAACAAGGTGCAGGGCTGGATGAACACAGCAGGCCAAGCAGCATCATAGGAGCAGAGAGGCTGACGTTTCGGGCCTAGACCCTTCATCAGAACAGGGGGAGGGGAAGGGGGTTTTGAAATAAATAGGGAGAGAGTGGGAGGCGGATAGAAGAGGGATAGAGGAGAGGATAGGTGGAGAGGAAACAAACAGGTCGAAGAGGCGGGGATGGGGCCAGGAAAGGTGAGTGTAGGTAGGGAGTTAGGAAGGGGATAGGTCAGTCCAGGGAGGACGGACAGGTCAAGGGGGCGGGATGAGGTTGGTCGGTAGGAGATGGAGGTGCGGCTTGAGGTGGGAGGAGGGGATAGGTGGGAGGAAGAACAGGTTAGGGAGGCAGGGACGAGTTGGACTGGTTTTGGGATGCGGTGGGGGGAGGGGAGATTTTGAAACTTGTGAAATCCACATTGATACCATTGGGCTGCAGGGTTCCCAAGCGGAATATGAGTTGCTGTTCCTGCAACCTTCGGGTGGCATCGTTGTGGCACTGCAGGAGGCCCAGGATGGACATGTCGTCTGAGGAATGGGAGGGGGAGTTGAAATGGTTCGCGACTGGGAGGTGCAGTTGTTTGTTGCGAACCGAGCGTAGGTGTTCTGCAAAGCGGTCCCCGAGTCTCCGCTTGGTTTCCCCGATGTAGA